AAACTGGAACAGCCACGTCCAATTTTGAGGCGTTTGGGAGCCAAAACGTTCGACTTGCAAGGCGTCCGGGATCCAAGGTACTACTGTACGTTTCTTCAAATCGAGCAGTTTCTATAACTTTGCATAATCTATTCTGATGTAGCAAGGAGAAGCAAGGGTCTCTGTAGAGAACTGGAGCCCCACCCCAACCACTGGAAATCTTCCTCAGCCGCATTTCTGAGATTGCTGCAGGTGTTGGTTGCAGTGGCTCTCTGCAGCCACAAGTGCCAGAAATATCACGGCAATGCACAAATCCCTGCTCTTACTTACTTATCTCCACTCACTGGGAAAAAGTGCCCTGTAAAAATCAGCTTTTGGCTAAGCAGGGCCCCTCTGTTCTGCCTTTGCAGAACAGGGGTATGATCTTTTGGGACCTATTGTGAAATCAGGGCTACTCTGTGCTAACCGGTTGGGAAAATGACAGTATGCTTTTCTGCAGCTCTTTCTTTTTGATTTGGACCTGGGAAAACCCTGTCCATGTGGCAGTTAGACTTCACAGTTGCAGGATTCTGTACCTGGGTGTGGTAGTACTGCAGGCTTGACATTGAAATTAGCCTCCTTGTGTTGGAAAGGGGGTTCTGCTGGTTTTTGTTTTTCATCAGCATCAATCAACCCACAATCTAGCTTCAACTTGGATATTATTATTGGTGCGTTGTGTACCCTGATAGATGCATGTGGTCCTCATATATTTAGCACTCATATATTGAGCACTGAGTTTGCGCAAGGTGCTGGTGACTACTTGAGTCGAAACCTTTGCTTGTTTAAAATCAGCAGTGTGCTAATTCCAGCAAGATCTGCCTTGCCTTGCCCTGCTTTAAGCGGCTTGTTCTATTGATAACATCATTTGCGCACATTTAAAACCGCACTGTTTAGCAAGGCAGTATTGTAAAATTGGACTCCGGAATCAAGCGAAGAAAGTTTTTCTGAGCAAATGAATGGCCCCAGACGTGTTGCTTTCAAATTTTAAAATACAGCCCACAACCAGCGTGTGGCAGCAGAGAATCAGAAAAGTAAAAGGTAAAAATTAAGCAGTCGTAAGAGGCCAGCTAACTCTGGGAAGAGGTCGTATGATTGCAGCCATCCTGCAGGAAACAAAATAAATGAAAACACCAAAAGCCTGCAGACGAAGACTGCCTGAGCTCTTTAAATCAATACATGAAACTCGATGTGTGCCTCTTTTGGGTCTGCCACCCCTCCTTAGTGTTGATGGATCACAAAGCTACACCCATATAGCAATCGGAACAACAGCAGACAGAATTCACTTGGCTCTAAAGCACTCTGTATGTGAAGCCTGTGGCCCTCCAGAGGCTGATGGGAATTGTAGTCTAAAAACATGCGGAGGAGAATCACAGGTTCCCCATTCCTGCTGCAAGCCAAGCAGTCCTAAGTCCACTTGGTTGCATGGCTCCTTGGGCCTCCTTCCCTCGCCTCCTTCCTTCCTGCCAGTTTATACAGCCCCACATGTTTCGAGAGCAGGGGTCAGCAAACTTTTTCAGCAGAGGGCCGGTCCACTGTCTCTTAGACCTTGTGGAGGGCCGGACTATATATATATATATATTTTGGGGGGGGAATGAATGAATTCCTATGCCCCACAAGTAACCCAGAGATGCATTTTAAATAAAAGTATGCATTCTACTCGTTTAAAAACACCAGGCAGGCCTCACAAATAACCCAGAGATGCATTTGAAATAAAAGGGCACATTCTACTCATGTAAAAACACACTGATTCCTGGACTGTCCATGGGCCGGATTTAGAAGGCGATTGGGCCGGATCTGGCCCCTGGGCCATAGTTTGCCTACCTATGTTCTAGAGCCTAGGCCCTGTGTAGCTCTGCCCCAAACCCATCCCCCCCAACCGCCATAGCACCTCTTTTTATTTCCATATCTCCTGCATCCTTGATTTGCTGAGGTTCTCCTCTGTTCAGGCCATAACCTACTTTGCTCACTTTTTAAGGCCCCTGTCTCATCTCCGCCTTCCTAATACTCTTGAACCCATATCATACAGGCCCTCCTGATCTCAAGCGCCACAGAGTTTTGATGGAGCCACCTCTCCCATTTGCCCTTCCTTGCCTTGACTCTGTGCCTTTCTCTGCCCTTTGAGCATTCTCTCCACCAACCTCTTCTCCACCTGTCTCTGTCTGCTCTGTAACTTTCCCCAGCCTTCTTGCATCCTGTCTCCCTGTCCTCTAGCTTCTCTACCTCCCAGTGCCTCTTCCCTAGACCTCAGCTAGCCCTTGTGTCTGCACGGTTGTAATTAAATCCCAGCCGAACCGACAACTTCCCCTTCCTTCACAGAAGCTGGACTGCAGTTAGCAGACCATTTTTAGCTGTTAAACCAGGTCAGCTAACCAGGAGGCATCACCTCTGCATGTGCATTGCAAGATAAAATAAAATACAGAAAGGGGACTTGCTGTGCTTTTGTTGGGGCAGTAAATTGGGAAACAATAACACAGAAGATAAAAGCAACTTTAAGGCTGGAGAGTAATTTTATGCCCTAATTATTTTTTTTTACCAACCTATCCAAAAGATGCTGTTTCTCCCAGTTTTTTCCTGGTGCTTTTCCACACTGGGTAATTTTCTGCTCTGACCAGAGAATGGAATGGTGGTACCAGAGTACTGTGTTTTTAAAAGGTAGTAACTGGTTTGCTTTCTTCAGAAGAAAACAGTACAGCCGTACCTTGGAAGTCAAACGGAATCTGTTCCGGAAGTCCATTTGACTTCCAAAACATTCGAAAACCAAATCGCAGCTTCTGATTGGCTGCAGGAAGCTCCTGCAGCCAATCAGAAGCCCCGGAAGCACCATCGGACATTTGGCTTCCAAAAGAATGTTTGCAAACCGGAACAATCACTTCTGGGTTTGTGGCGTTGGGGAGCCAAAACGTACGAGTTCCAGGGCGTTCGACAACCAAGGTACAACTATATTGATTTTAGGGTTTCTATGTGTTACACAAATGTGAAACGTTATGCATTCGGTCGAAAGTCAATTCTAAAATGTAATAGAAATATACCACTGTTATAAGAAATAGAATTAAAAAACCAAACATACTGTAATTTTGAAAGTCTCTTGAGTCGTTTAGGCTGCATTCCTATATTCACCTACCTGAGAGTAAGCTCAATTGAATGCAACGGGTCTTGCTTTTGAGTAGATGTGTATAGCAGTGTTTCCCAACCTTGGACCTCCAGCTGTTTTTGAACTACAATTCCCATCATCCCTGACCACTGGTCTTGCTAGCTAGGGATGATGGGAGTTGTAGTCCAAAAACAGCTGGAGGCCCAAGGTTGGGAAACACTGGTGTATAGGACTTGCTAGTTACCTTTTCCAAAGAAATAAATCAAACAAAAACCCAGTTACCCCTTTGATGTGAGGACTACTGCGGTATTGATTTCTACTTACAATACTTTCAACGTGAAATCAATTATAGGGTCTAAACCAGCAATGACTGCTACGTGTTGTACATCATCTGTGGCTTCCCTGTGCTGTAGTTAAAAGTATATTTATAACGACAGGAGTGTATTGAGCTCATGGTGCTTGGTGTGTGTTTTTCTTCCATGGACGAGAACGCTCCTTTCCACACCCTCAAGTTAGCTCAAGTATTTGATGAATTGCTTAAATTAATTGCCAGTCATCAGGATTGATCCTTTCCTATGGTGTTCTTTCTCCCCCCTCCTTCTAAATATGGAATGCATTTAGCTCACATCTTTGTAATCTTTACAACTCTGCAAGAACATCGGGGTTATAATCCCCACGTTAGATTGGTAGTATGGGGCTGAAGCTGAGATATGGTTGCCTTCCTGGGTCCGTTCCGCAGATCCAAGGCTGAACTGAGATGTGAACAGGTAATTTGTGCAGGGCTGGATTAACCATTAAGCAAAATACAGTGGTGCCTCGCAAGACGAAATTAATCCGTTCCGCGAGTCTCTTCGTCTAGCGGTTTTTTCATCTTGCGAAGCAACCCTATTAGCGGCTTAGCGCTATTAGCGGTTTAGCGGCTATTAAAGGCTTAGCGGCTTAGCTGCTAAAAGGCTATTAGTGGCTTAGAGGCTTAGAAAAAGGGGGGGGGGAGCGGAAAAAAATCTCAAGACTCGCAAGACATTTTCATCTTGCGAAGCAAGCCCATAGGGAAATTCGTCCTGCGAAGCAACTCAAAAACGGAAAACCCTTTCGTCTAGCGGGTTTTCCGTCTTGCGAGGCATTCGTCTTGCGGGGCACCACTGTAAGCATGTGCTTAGGGCATCAAGGGAAGACGGGCACCACAGAAATTTTCCATTGCCAGGTTTTTTTACATTAACGGTCACAAATTGCTCATTTGAGTGTTCATTTTCTCAGTAGAAGTACAGTCGTACCTTGCTTTTCAAACAGCTTAGTTCTCAAACGTTTTGGAAGTCGAACGGACTTCCGGAACGGATTCCGTTCAGCTTCCAAGGTACGGCTGTATATTAAAAATCCCAACAGAACAACTATTCAGCAAGGCAGGCTCAAGACCTTATCTCTACTAAGTATGGAAGCAGATGTGTGTTATGTAAGATTAGTTTTGACAATCTGAGCAAAGACTTTGCAATTAGAAAAAGTAGGAGAAATTTTTATCAAATATAAATAAAGTGATGGTAGACAAAAATATTTTCCATCTTACTGTAGGCTTTGTTTCATTTCAAAAAATAGAAATTTATTTTGCGGGTTGTTATCGTTTGTATTTTGAATTAGATATATATGGGGGCACCAAAATCTTTTAAGTGCTTAGGGTCTCTAAAGGTCTTAATCCAGCCCTAAATTTGTAGTTCTTGTTCTTAACCTCTATACACACACACACACACACACACCACACACACACACCCCCACACACACTACACTGTGTTCGAATTTTTCTTTAGCATCTTGCACACAGGAAACAGAACTCTGCAACATTTCCATGCACTCACTGAATTTGTCATCCTTGAGCTGATTCCTTTCTCCCTTCCCACAGGCAAATCCAAAACCAGAGAAAATCGCCAGTCGATCATCAACCCTGACTGGAACTTTGAGAAGATGGGCATTGGGGGTCTTGATAAGGAGTTCTCTGACATCTTCCGGCGGGCCTTTGCCTCCCGAGTGTTCCCACCTGAGATTGTGGAACAGATGGGTGAGTACCAAAGCTAAAGGAGAACAAAATCCCACAATGGTGTCCAAGGGGGTCTCACAAAGGATGATGATGTAAAGGTAAAAGGTAAGGTAAAGGACCCCTGGGTGGTTAAGTCCAGTCAAAGGCGACTATGGAGCGGCAGCGCTCATCTCGCTTTCAGGCCAAGGGAGCCGGCGTTTGTCCACAGACAACTTTCCAGGTCATGTGGCCAGCATGCCTAAACCGCTTCTGGCTCAATGAGACACCATGATGGAAACTAGAGTGCACGGAAATACAGTGGTACCTCGGGTTACATACGCTTCAGGTTACATATGCATCAGGTTACCGACTCCGCTAACCCATAAATAGTACCTCGGGTTAAGAACTTTGCTTCAGGATGAGAACAGAAATCGTTCTCTGGTGGCGCGGCAGCAGCGGGAGGCCCCATTAGCTAAAGTGGTGCTTCAGGTTAAGAACAGTTTCAGGTTAAGAACGGACCTCCAGAACGAATTAAGTACTTAACCCGAGGTACCACTGTACTTTCACCGGCGTGCTTTTGAACTGCTATATTGGCAGGAACTGGGACAGAGCAATGGAAGCTCCGTCGTGGGGATTCGAACTGCCAGCCTTCTGATCGGCAAGCCCAAGAGGCTCAGTGGTTTAGACCACAGCGCCACCCGCTTCCCACGGATAGTGATATACAAAGGGGGTGGGCAGGTGTCAAATAGGAGCTGACTAAGATAGGAGAGGAGAAGGGACAGCAGCAGGAAATGCAGAAAACTCAGACATGCAAGCCATGAGGACTGTCAAATATTACAGCATTTTGCCCCCTCTTCCTTAGGCAGTGGTAGCTAAACAAAACAGGGCAGTCTTTTTTTAGGGTTTGATTTCATGGAGTATAAAGATGAAGTGGAGATTGGAGCAGTGGAGACTGGACCAGGCAAAATCAAATTATACGCCTGAGCTGAACAGCCAGTTATGGCCTGCCGGGTGCCCAGTGTGCTTCAGCTTCCTTCTGTGCAACTATTGCAGGCGAGTCCTATGGATTTCACCTGGTTTGGCACCAAAATGGACCTGAAGGGCTCCTCCCATTGGTTACAGCAGCCGCTGAAAACAGCTTAAATTGGGATTCTCCCCTGAATAATCGAAGCCACAAGATGGGGAGCTGTAACCCACTCTGCTCAGTGCAGCTTCTTGGCTGGCTGGTTCCCATAACTCTGAATTCATCAAAACGTCTGACCCTGCAACACTAACTGTATCTACTCAGGAGTCCCATTTAACTCAGTGGGTCTTACTCCCGGGTAAGTGAGATTGGGATTCTAACCTGAGGCACGTAACTGGAGGCACCCTTCACTCTTAACTTCAACCTTGTGCGGTTAGAGCAGAGCTTTCCAGATTCTTCATGTTGGTGACACACTTTTTAGACAGGCATTTCAGGATGCAGTAATTCAGTTTTACTAGCAAACCGGAAGTTAAACTAACCCCTTTCCAACCCCAGTAGGAGCGTTTGTGTGAAACACCTACAAGGTAAAGGACCCCTGGATGGTTAAGTCCAGTCAAAGTTGACTATGGGGTTGCGGCGCTCATCTCGCTTTCAGGCCTAGAGAGCTGGCGTTTGTCCACAGACAGCTTTCCGGGTCATGTAGCCAGCATGATTATACTGCTTCTGGTGCAACGGGACACTGTGATGGAAACCAGAGCTCACGGAAATGCCCTTTACCTTCCCGCTGCAGCGGTACCTATTTATCTACTCACACTGGCATGCTTTCGAACTGCTAGGTTGGCAGGAGTTGGGACAGAGCAACAGGAGCTCACCCCGTCGTGGGGATTCGAACCACTGACCTTCTGATTGGCAAGCCCAAGATGCTCAGTGGTTTAGACAGCGCCCACCCGCATTGTAAGGTATACAAATATACCGAACAACCGAACAACAACTTGGGAGCATCCTGTGGAATTGATTGGCAGTGGGTTCAGGTCTTGGAATGAGCTTGCCTCCAGTGAACCTACCATACTAGCAGCCCATTTTCTGATACCCCTTTGTCCATAATAACTTCTTCCCAGTTTTACTGTAAAATGTTGAACTTTGACATTTGAAGATAGAATCCTCATGCTGTTCCAGGTAACATATAAATGAAGCTTTAGAAGCATCCAGATGCACAGTGGAAGTATATGGACTTGCTAATCAATATCTATTCCTGCCAGGGTCATTGTTGTTCCTGCTGAACGCTTGTTCCTCAACATGCTATGGCCCACTTCGAGATGGACACTTGCTGGCTAGCAAGCAGAGCTTTAAGCCTTCCATCCCAGTTCCCTTTCTCTTCTTCGACAGGCCTCCCTTAGGCGAAAGAAGCTTATCTGAAATTTGAAGAAAAGTGCCGCTTCCTGACACTCATCCTTCCCCCGCCATGCATTAGTTATGACTTGCTCTTCCAACTATATTTCAGGGCTCAGATGCCAGGTTGACATCTGCTCGGGTCCGCCGCAATAATTCACGAGGGGGAGGGAAGGGAGAAGAAAGCCATTCCTCAGCCCTGCGCAAAGTAGCAGTTGCAGGACTCCCCCCAAGAACCCCTTTTGTGTTTTCTCTCTCTCTCCCGCCTTTCCCTGCTCTTGTGCCTCACAAGTGATCAGCAGTAAATATGCCAGCTGCAGCTTGGCCAAATTGACCCATCTTGCATTTCTGTTTGCTTCAGCGTGGTTTCCACCAACTTTTATGAAAGGGAGGAGGGGAGAAGGAGTTTTATAAATCCACTTCATTGTGCTGCATCTGTGAGGTGGTGGGTTTTGGGGGGCCATTAAGGCTGGCGGAGGTGGAGGCAAGCAGATCTGGCCCCTGGTGTAAAGCAAACAGGGGTCGGACATGAGTACGGAGCAAAACTAGGAAGTAACTAAGTTCTCGTGAGCCCCATCCCCAAATTCTAGAAGAGAATGGGTAGCCGTGCTTGTTTCTTGTGGCAATAATGCGAATAAATCCATCACGGAATAAAGTTCTGTGGACATTGATGACACAGTAGGTTTTAGTCAATAGGAGAGCTTGCCATAATATGTATGTCGAATATTAAAGGAACCAAAACCCTCTTTACTGCTTTCTAGATTGGACTTGAGAGAGAGAGCCTAGACAGGCATCTTACAGCATCTGTGACTTGCTGGTTTGCTGGGGTACATAAAAATGAATGGAGGAGGATGGAGGGGCCCTTGGATTTGACATTGTGCCTGACCGTCCTAGTGGTAATTAACGTAGCAAAGTTTCCATCCTCTAGGACAATGGAGGGGTTCTCCTCCTCAGCCATGTTTGCTCCCCAATTATGAGGGGGAAAGGAAGCATTCAAACTGAACTGGGTAGCAGCCTGAAACAGTTTTGGGCTGGGTGTTTTTGTGCTCCACCTACGGTGGCCTGTCCCATTCTGCTTCCTTCCATTTCAAGTATGGGTTTCCGGCTAAGACCTGGGACATTCCTGTTTGTCCTCATTTATTATAGTGGCTGGTTGCAGTGGCAGAATCACTAGTGCCCCATCACCTATCCTAAGCCAAATGTTGACAGCCCTTTGAATTGGTTCCTGCAGAGATTTTGTCTTCCAGCGTAGTTGCTCTTGCATGTTGTTGTTGTTTAGTTGTTTAGTCGTGTCTGACTCTTCGTGACCCCATGGACCAGAGCACGCCAGGCACTTCTGTCTTCCACTGCCTCCCGCAGTTTGGTCAAACTCATGCTGGTAGCTTCGAGAACACTGTCCAACCATCTCATCCTCTGTCGTCCCCTTCTCCTTGTGCCCTCCATCTTTCCCAACATCAGGGTCTTTTCCAGGGAGTCTTCTCTTCTCATGAGGTGGCCAAAGTATTGGAGCCTCAGCTTCAGGACCTGTCCTTCCAGTGAGCACTCAGGGCTGATTTCTTTAAGAATGCATAGGTTTGATCTTCTTGCAGTCCATGGGACTCTCAAGAGTCTCCTCCAGCACCAGAATTCAAAAGCATCTATTCTTCGGCGATCAGTCTTCTTTATGGTCCAGCTCTCACTTCCATACATCACTAGTGGGAAAACCATAGCTTTAACTATACAGACCTTGGCATAGCAAATACTAGACCGGAAGCTAAATTCTATTATCAAGTCAATCCTTTGGCATCTCACCTTTTATTTTAAAACCAAGCTTCTGGCCCCTGGCTGTAATGCTAAGCTAAACTGTGGCTTATTTCAAATGTGATCACTCCTGGAGAGGAGATCCTAGCTGATGTGCTCCTCCTGCAATCCTCTGGCTTTGCTGCTGGAAGCTAAATTATGGCTTGGCTTCGTGTGTCATCCAAACCAGGGCTTGTGGTTCATACCCTCCTGGCAATACACGAGCTGTAAACCCGATAACAAACATTGGTTAAAGCAGTTCAATGGCTGCAAGGACTGGAGAAGGGGCAGCTGTGAACTCTTCTCTGGCTTAGCATTATGTGTGAACCGGCTCCTAGCTCCCCAAAGGGAAGCAGGGAGCAGCACATTTTGTGCAAAGGAGCAGGATTCAAATGTTCAGCTCCTTCTGGGATGCCTAACCATGGTTGGCCAATTGGTTTGTGTTACGTTGAGCCAGTGTGTCTCAGCGCTCTTGTTCCAGAGGAGATGGAGAAAGAGAGAGGGACTGGATTTATAGCTCTCTATTTGACCATCAGTACCACATTGGCTGAGGGGACGCGGGTGGCGCTGTGGGTTAAACTACAGAGCCTAAGGGTTGCCGATCAGATGGTCGGCGGTTCGAATCCCTGCGACGGGGTGAGCTCCCGTTGCTCAGTCCCTCCTGCCAACCTAGCAGTTCGAAAGCACGTCAAAGTGCAAGTAGATAAATAGGTACCACTCCGGCGGGAAGGTAAATGGCATTTCCATCCGCTGCTCTGGTTTGCCAGAAGCGGCTTCGTCATGCTGGCCACATGACCTGGAAGCTGTACTTCGGGTCCCTCGGCCAATAAAGGCAGATGAGCGCCGCAACCCCAGAGTCGGCCATGACTGGACCTAATGGTCAGGGGTCCCTTTTTCTTTACCTTTACCA